AGGAATGCGCCTGCACGCCTTTAACACAACATCAAAGCCTGAGATGTTACGAAAAGGGTTACATTAAAAAAAAAAGACACAATATAGCTATTTTTAATGATAATTAGCCCCACAATCCTAGATATATGCACATGCGAGCGTGCACGTACACACATAAATAGATTCATTAAATAGTCTCTTTTTGCAGAGCAAAGCTTTTTGTTGTTGTTGTTGTTCTATTATCTGAGAGATCTGGGTTGGTTTTTGGTTTGTTTTGGTTTAAGGTTTTTCTTTCTGTTGTAAAATACAAAGTATTGTGAAAAATTTTCCCAATATCTTTGTGCTGCATGTTACGTTGCATTTCTCAAAGGAAAAAAAAGAAAAAACAACCTGAGAGCAGGCTAAGTTTTGAGATCCTGATTCTGCTCTTATTGTAGCTAATAGCAAAATGCCCATAAACTGTCTCAGCACTCGGAGAATTTTTATTTATTTATTTAGACTTCTCACATATCTTTAAATGATAATTTGTCAGACAAAACAGCAAAAGTGAATATGAGCAGTGACAGAGATTCAGTCTACATTTCTTTTCAAACCTTAGAGAATCCTGAATAACATCCGTTTTCTTAAAGGCTCTTTAAATTATTAGAAAATGTGAAAATATCTGCTGCGAAATCTCACCGAATTGAAGCTTACTTTTAAATACTGCAGACTGGGTTGCTTCTAAAATATGTATTCCGAACTTTTTTTTTTGGCCCCTTGAGATCAAGCAATTATGTGGAATTAGAAAAAATCATATTATTCACTTACTTATTAGTAGTCTAAGCACAAACTGTATTGTCAGTTTTCTGCCTTTGGCTTTCTGTGCCCTTAATGTTCACACAAGTATCGTAGCCAGAATTATCGGCAGCTAGAGCCAAAATTGCTTTAAAAAGGCATGAGAACTGGTAATGACACATTGTTAGCAGTTAACAGGTGGTCGTTTCATTGTCCAGTTTGACTGCAGAGCACACAGAAGATATGTGCAATATCTGCAAATGTGTTTATAAAGTTCGTAGAAAGTTTAGCAATTTTATAATTTTATAGTGCTCTTATGTTATTGACTACTGTCAATGCCAGATCCAAACAAAAGGGGGGAGGTTTAAAGATGGTTTAAAACTCTTCACATTTTACACATGAGACTGGCAACTGATGTTGCCCCATAATCTTTAATGAAATATTCAGACATTTCAGACTTGTTTCTATTTACCTTCTCTACATTTTAAGGGCTGCAAAAAAATCCAGTTTTAGCTTTGGTACTGCTGTGTCATTGGTGGGTTTTAGCAGCACAAATATATAAAGGACAGGTGTATTCTAAGCAATCTACTTCAGTAATTTACTCTCAAATTTAAAACTGGGGAGACTGTCCCTAGAGACTTAGTAGCAGAAATTTGGTTTTTATGTTTAATCCTAATTGCTTTTGCTTGCACTACAAGAACGAATGGTAATTCTCAGTTATGCTTTTTGAGCTGTAGACACTGCTTTCATTGAAAATTGGGCTCAAACTGCCAGGCTCAATTCCCAAAGCTCACAGCAGTGTCTGCCTACTTGGTCACATAACTTTTCAGTGGCTTCTCATCCAGCTTGGACTCAACTCATGTTCTAACTGAAGTTTTCTTGAGCTGAGAAGAAACCAAGGATGGCCTTGGGGAACACCACCAAAATATGTAAAACTGTGATCCTGCTCTTGAATACACTGATTCAATTTTTGCCACTAATGCTGGGTCAGAAGCAACATGTTTTCCACCCTAGAAACCTCCTCCGTTAGAAGATCTATGCATTTGATGCAAGGAAACTGCCTTGCAGCACCACTCCTTTTTATGCAAATAAGCGTTGCTCTAAACCGATAATTTTTGAAATTAGTGGCAGACTTCATAATTTCCAAGTAATTTAGTTATCATTCAGAGTGTAGGTTTTCAGGTTTTTTTTCTCTTAGGGATGCCAAAAAACACTCCTAATTAGTACCAATTATAATTGGGTGTGCTGGTAGGTGGTCTGCCACGTTAATTTTATACCACATGAAACAAGGCACCTGGCTTAGACTGAAAGTAGAGATGCTGTCACAATGCATGGGATATCTGTGAGCTGCAACATTCCCAGAAATCGTTCAGCTGTCCAAAAACCAAGAGATCTTACTGCGTGTGTGGACCACAGGAGATGTCAGGACATTCAGGTTGTGGACAACAAAACCAAGCCCATGCTCTCTGCTTAAGCTCAGCCTGGCTTTTGCTGCCCACATTTGCTTTTTCATTCACATTTTGGCCGTCATCTGGGAATACTGTCACTCAGGAATGACCTCCTGTGGAAGAGCCCAGGCTGGAGTCACTATTGATTGTTGGAGGGGATCAATTCCCCTTCTACTCCCCCATTTCCAGATGGAAACAAACGGCTTTGCAGTAGGAAGAGTGCCCTTTGGCTACCGTATCAATCTGAGGGCTGCTCTTGTCAAAATGCACAATCACAAGCTTGATAATGCAATCCATTCCCCAAGCACAATATTTCCAACCTGTTCTCCATCATTTCCTTATGGCGTCACATTTACTCAGTTCATCACTTTCTTATTAATATTTTAGATTTCCTTGAAAGTGATGGAATTCTATTTTTATTACAAAAGCAACAAGAATAAATACTAATTGTTGTCAGTTATTTCCTTATGTAGTGGGAACAATAATTTGTTCCTCAGCTTTAGGTTGCCAAAGCAAAATAATTAAATATTTTAGACATTTAAAAAATCTGTGATATTAGATAAATGCAATTTGATCTCCTTATTTGCCACATAAAAGCTGGAACTGCCTGAATTGATAAGATTGAATTGCATTATTTTTATTGTTTCTACTTGCATATTTTTCTTATCTTCAAGAACACTTTACTTACAATCCAGTGGTTAGTCATGCAGCCCTGCAACAGATCCTGAAAAACTCCTCTATGTTTGAATTGCCACAACTAGAGCATCAAGATTTAAAGATAATAAATTAAAAATTATAATATATATATAAAAATGTGGAAAGTCTTGATGAGCTATGGAATGTTATTGCTATTCATGATCACTTTAGTATCTCAATCAGAGTAGTCAAGGATCCAAGGCGTCATTGTGCCAGACACAATGTGACACCAAAGTAAGATAATTCCAGCTCTCAGCCTGAATAAGGACAAGTTGCAACAGGTGGAAAAAGTGGATAAAAGCAGGGGGTGGAAGGAAAAGTTGACAGCAAAGCCAACATGTCATGCATATTAAACAGCAGGCTTGGGATTCTTTTCCACTCTTCGTTAGGATCGGGATCTTAGCCCCAGAACCATGGCCACTGGCCAACTCAAATAATGATATTTTCCTTACCTAAATTCCAGTTGTGCTTTCAACACAGCATGATGGGTTGTTCCAGTCCCAAAGGGCAATACATCGCTCTGGGATGCCACAGCCCTCGCACGTTTCCCCAGGGAATGGCCACGAGTTAGTGTCTGGGAATATGCCTCCTAGTGTCTTCTTAATCAAGATAAAAATAATAACCTCTGGATCATATTTGTGATTTGCTGCAAAGTCACCTTGGGCTCTGAGATCTGCTTGGGTTTCTGAAAAGGTAGCATTTAAGGCAAGCACCCCAACCTAAGTATTTAGTCGAGGACTGTGTGTTTGCTTAAAATTGCTCAAAGCTTCTTTGCTCATTTCACTCACTTTGCCTTACCTCGGAAGGCTGAATTTTGAAACCCAAAGCCTGGCATGTAATTCCATAGCAATTACTCAAACATCCAGAAGTGTCTCTGAATGCAGACCGTACGTTTTGGGGGCAGGAGACGTGGGGAAGTACAGCGGTAGAAACCCCTCTTGATGTCTCTGTGGATGTGATGGAAGAGAAGGAGAATTCAGTGGAGCTTTAACCCTTTCTGGCTCCACGTGGTGCTTGCTCCTTCCCTGGCTAAAGCTTCTGCTGAGGACTTGCTCGAGGCTTTAGCACACGACTGGGTATTTCTGTGGCGAACGCTGCCTTACTGAGGCTATTGTTTCTCTGCAGAGGGAAGGGATGGTTACCAGGGCACAAACACACGTCTTTGCATGGCTTCAGCTGTGTAATAGCAGGAGGAAAAGAAAGCCAGAAACTTATTTTGTTCAGAGATCCTAGAAAAAGGCCACCTAATGACAGGCAGGGCTGAGAGAGGAGTCTGTGTGATCTTTTTCTCCCCCCTTCTCACACATGAAGAAGCTGGCAGGTTGGGAGACAACA